GAGAATCTTTGTTTTCTTGATGTTGAGCTTCAATCCACATAGGAGGCTGCAGTCCTTGACCTTCTGCAGCAAACACTTCAGCTAAGAGGCAACCAAATATCAAATCCATTGCCTTGACTTGACTCTGGCTTCATATGTATCAGAGTCTAACTGTGCTCCAGTGGGTACCCAGTGGCTGTGATCTTTTAGAAATAGAGCGTTGGACCTTTTTTCTTGACTGTGCTGGATGGATTTGAACTGCCAACCTTTCAGTTTATAGCTGAGTGGAAACATTTGTGCCACCCAGGTGATGCACATGGTTGGTCACTAATATATAATGAGTGAGTGTTTTATCAAACACACACTTCCAGAATCTACATACCAGGCACTGTTCTAAGCACTAGGGTCCATTGCATGTGTCTAGTTGTAGAAATGAGACAGAGAAGAAGACAAAAGAATGAAACCTATGATAAGTAGGACTAATACTTAAGTAGGGTGCTTTGGGAGCCCCCAGGAGGAAAGTGACTGACTGAAATCATCAGGGATGAAGCCACAGAGATTCTGACTATGAGTTTATCAGTAAGAGTGGAATATCATAAAGAAAAGAGAATATAGTAGGCGAGATTTGGAGAAGTAAGAAGTCAAGGTGTAAGGCTAGCATGGACAGGCAAGGCCGTTTCTAGAAGAAGAAAGGTGTGGTCTTGGGTTTTGTGTGGTACAGCTGTGACAGTGTCCCCCACCAGTGTCCCCCTCACAGGGCCATGCCTGCATCTAGCCATGGAGAGTCTGAGCTTGTAAAAAGAGTTTCAAAGATTTTACTGACATTATAATTGCCTGCAGGCTTTTGCTTTAAAGCTGTGCCATTAATCGATGCACTCAGAAGCATTTTCCCTTTTCGTAGTATATTAGTTAGGTACGGCTGGTTAGCAAATTACCTCAAAACATAATAAGAATAAGAACTCATAGTGTCACAGCTTCAAACAGTAGTGGTCCAGTGGTAGTGTTATGGCAGAAATTCAAGATTTTAAACATTCACCCAATGTTGGAGATCAATAAAACTTTTATTGTATTATTTCTATGTTTTTTTAATTTATTGATGCTTGCTTGTGACCTAGAATGTGATCTATTCTAGAGAATCTTCCATGCACATTGGAGAAGAAGGTATGCTATGCTTTTTTGGGGTGTATTAGTCTATAAATATCTATGAGGTCAAGTTGGTTTATTGTGTGATTTAATTCTTCAGTATCTCTGTTGAGTTTTTTTCTGGTAGTTTTGTCCTTTCTTGAGAGGGGTGTATTGAAGTCTCCCAAGACTATGGTAGTGTTGTCTATTTCCTTTTTCAGTTTTGTGAATGTTTGTTTTATGTATTTCGCAGGTCTTTCATTTGGTGAATAGATAATAAAACTTTTATTAAGCTCATAGTCAAGAATGTCAGCTAATGCTCAAAGTGTTCCAACCCTGAGGGGAAGCAAAAATTGGGTTTATATACAGAGATTAGGCATGGGGGTTACACAAAGCTTGTTGTGGTTGACAGTTGAGATTTCTTCACATTTGGGAGTCATCATTGTTTTTGACTTCTCATGAGTGTCCAGACCCTAGACCAGGTGCAGAGGAAGTGGTAACCAAGTTGGATGAGCTTGTAGTATAACATAAAGCTTAGTAAAACGTGTCATTGCCAAAATTATAGAGGCATACATTTCTTAAAATGTCTGTCAGAACAGAATGGTTTCCCTAATGCTAACATATAAAATGGCTTCTCTAATGCTTGTGTTCACCAAGTTGTGTCAAGAAATCTGGAGGACAACCTACTGGGATAGGAACAGATCCAAAAAGAAGGTGACCTGACAGAGTGTGGAAATTATTGAATGACATCACTAATATCACACACTAGCAAATTCCTGCTAAAGATTATCCAGAAAAGACTTGAACAGTACTTTGACAAAGAAATACCAGAAATGCAAGCTGGGTTTAGAAGAGGTCATGGCATTAGGGACATTATTGCCAATGTCTGATAGCTCTTGGCCGGAAGCAGAGAACACCAGTAGAATGTCTATCTGTGTTTCATTGACTATGCAAAGGCATTTGACTGTATGGATGACAATAAATTGTGACTAACCTTGAGAAAAATGGGAATCTCTGAAAACTTGATTGTGGTTATATGAAACCTATACTTGGACCAAGAAGCAGTCCTCAGAATGGAGCAAGGAAATACTGCA